TTCATTTGCTTTTTCTTGCCTCTTAGTAGCCACAATAAATCTCATTTCCTCATCACAGAGTTTTCACTCTCGCTACTCATAACCTCTTCATCCAAAAACATCTATCAAAATTCCTAGATTTCCATACAAACTCTTCATGGCACTGTTAATTTCCTGCTGCTTGAAGAATTTTCACTAAGGAAAAAGCATGTGCAACATCCTTGACCCAATTATGGACAACTATCAAGGTGATTTGAGTGACATAATTCGTGCTAGTGGTGCATCATATGGCAGTTGCAGCATGGGAACTTCATCATCTAAAGCTTGTGCTCCTTTTTCTCTCGATCACTGGCAGTTCTCTTCCGTTTTGGAAGGGTTTGATGGTAACTTTGGTGATCCATTCTCAAACACGAGAGATCCCTTTCTACACCAGCTTGAATTGCCTGCTTGCTTTAACAGCACAAGTTCTGCAGAAATTAGCAGTTCTGGGGCATTGGAAGAAGCAACTTTTTTTGGTGGTGGGGTTGCTGCTAGTAGTAGTAGTAGTAGAAACAGTTGTGTTTTGAAAGAAACGATTTTTGAGGATGATGACACGAGAAGGCCTTGTAATAGCATATTGGCGAACATGATTCAGATCTCTCCCCCCAATGATAAGCTACCCATGTCGCCATTGGTGGAATCTTTGTCAAGGGCACTCAAGCCTTCTGGTGTGGTTTTAGGTGATACCATGATTAGTGTGAAGACTTCTGAAGATGATTGCTTGGTGGGTAACAACAACACAAAAGAAATGCAGATCTCACCTCCACGGAATCCATGTCTTAAGAGAAGGTGAGGTATTAGTTAATTGATTAATTAGTCAAATAGTAAATTATAATACTGAATTAAATGGAGAACTGCTTCCAAGAATTGAGTTTAATTACATCTTGTCCATTAGTTTTATGTTGGCATCATAGATTTTCCAAACGGAATTAATCACAGTTATTTTTGGGAACTTAAATTTCAGTGAAACCATGGTGAGGTAATAAAGTAGGGTTTGGCATGAGTGAGTGAGGTAACTCTTTTGTCTTATTTTCCTGATATGTTTGGTTGACTGCATCTGGTCATAAAAACTAAGAGGATTATGATTATTTCATGTTGGAAACAGTTCATTGTGATTAAGACTAAACATGGTGCATCGATGCCTTTACCAGGGTTAATCCACCTGAAAAGTAGAGCTAGCTAGATAGGTGTCACCATAGCAGTCACATACTGAGCTTTCAAGAAAGCTTATCGTAAACTACTTTTCTTCCGAACACACCTGAAATGTTCTGTTCCTTTGATCATCGGATAAAAACCATATCCCTTTTCTATCCACAACATTTCCACTATTTCAGTGGAATTAACTCTAAACCAGAAAGATTAAACACCCTCCTGTAGCTATTAAGGAGACACGTATAATTGAGAAATTATATTTTTATAACTGCTTTTCAGAATACTTCTATAAATAGGAAAGAAAAAAGAAGCATAGGTTAAATAATGTAACAAAAAGACAGGAAAAAAAATAGTTATAATACAATATATTAAACATATTGTAACTCCATGAAATTAAAGTTTTTAGTTGAAGTTTAAGGAGAATGATGTAAGTGATAATATGATACTGTTGTGTAATTGCAGGAAGAGTCTGGCAAAGAAATCTATTTGTGTGCCTGCACCAGCTGCACCGAATAGCAGACAGAGTGGCGAGGTAGTCCCTTCTGATCTGTGGGCTTGGAGAAAATATGGTCAGAAACCCATTAAAGGATCTCCATATCCAAGGTAAGTTATTGGAATAGTGTAATCTTTCACGGAAGAGATAAGGTATTTTAATCAAGATTTTGCCTAACTTCTTTAAACAAACATAGCACGTAATAAAGTGACCAGATTTTAGTACAAATTTTAGGTTTTTGTATGCTTTGTTAATTAAAATTGTAGTTTTGTTTTGTTAATCTGTGCAGTATATATAGAAACATTGGTAAAGCTTTGAATTTGATTAATCAAAACCACTATATAATAATCACTTAAAGTGCCACACTTAATTTTGTCCCAAGAAGAAAAATAATATTGTGTTTACTCTTTTATATTAAACTATTTGGTAAACATAAAGCCACACAACTTCAATTAATATATGTAGTTTTAATTTTTCACTTCAAACTTTTCTTTGCTTTTAGTATTATTACGTTTAGAGAAAAAAAGAAGAAGAAAAGGCTATACACAACACTCTAATCACAATCTATTATGATAGAGAAAAGATACTATTATTTCTAATATATACATTGAAAGTATGATCGGTTAGTGAAATGACATTGTCATATGTTTGATGACAAAATATTATATTTATAAGAGTTGAACTTTTTATACTATCAGCGTATAGTTTATTTTCCACAGTTACCTAATTAATAAATGAGGTAATTATACGTTCAAAAGAATTATTATAAATTCAACTGTTTATATTGAATGACTACATTAAAATATTATTAATTACATTAAATTAAATTCTTTGTAAAACAAGCACAATTATTCATGAAAACGCCACAAACAAATATTTTAATCTTGCAGTAAGATCTAACTCAGGTGTTAATTTATTCTGATTATACCCTCCAAAAGAAAAATGACACTTGAACAGATAAAACTAACATTATTTTTTAATCACGTATCATACTTTCATCGGGTGACAAGGAAATTAAGGAAGCACCGATGGTAAGGTATCTCGTAATGTGTTATGTTTTTTCGTTATCTCTTACCCATTCCAAAAGCTTTCTTTGGCAAATGTTTTACACCGGAAGAAACTTACTGTACTCACGTCAAGCAATTTATTTTTATGGTACGTAACATTATGTCATTGGTGCAGGTGCAGTAATTCATGGTCTTCCTCAATATCATGTTTGTGTTCTTATGTTTGTCTCTCTCTTGTTATGTAGGGGTTACTATAGATGCAGCAGCTCAAAGGGTTGTCCTGCAAGAAAACAAGTTGAGAGAAGCAGAACAGATCCAAACCTGTTGGTCATTACTTACACGTCAGAGCACAACCATCCATGGCCAACTCACAGAAATGCTCTAGCTGGGTCTTCTCGATCTCAACCTTCATCAAAAGGCAACAACTTTGGTGCTTCAAAGAATGAAGAAACCAGTCCCCAAAACAATGAAGAGCAGCACGAGGAGAGCAACAGTGATAGCAATAATGTGAATAACAGTGCTTGTGTTCAGGAAGATGGAGAATTCAGTGACATTGGACTCCCTTATAAGCCAATATCCAATATGAAGAGCTACCAACAACAACAACAGCTTGATCAGGGTTTGTTTGCAGAGTTTGGAGAAATAGAAAAAGCTCACTCATTAAACCTAATGTCTCCACCACAAGGTTTTGATGATCACCAAATGAAATCCAACGCTTTAGATTCATTCCATATCTTTGACTGGAGCGCTGATAACAGCACCGAGTTCCACCTCATTTGAAGAATCTAATTGGAGAAGGTTATATATATAAATATAAAGAACTTGAATGGGAAGCATGCAGCACCTTCCTCACAAAAACCTTTTAATAGGTGCAGGTCATCATCGGATTTCAAATATGTCATGTGGGGGAGATTTGAGATCACAAACCCACTTTTCTTGTTTTTAGTTTTTTTTTTTTTTTCCTTTTCTCTTTCTCTTTTTCTTTACCTGTTATTTCTCGTAGCAGTGAGGGAGGAAAATTAGTGGAAGAAAAATGGGATTGTATATGTGGGAGTGCTGCTTGATGGGAAGCACACAGAAGGAATCCCACGTTCCCTTTGGAATATTGGTGGATGGGACAGAAAGCTGAGGAACAGAAGATTTTAACAGTTAAAACAATTTCTAGAGACTTTATTCATTCAAAATCACACTCAGTAGGTTAATGATTAAAGGATGAGAGCCCAGTCCTTTCATCTTTTGCAAGTGGGAAAAATTATTTTAGGCCTCACCCTTCATCATGTGGCTTGTTCTTCAAAAGGCTTCGGAGATTTTAATCTGAGATTTCATATTAACTTTTCTCTCAGAATTGAAAATTGATTTTAGCTAAAAAAGATTAGTAATAAACAAAATAAAGGAATATATATGGGTCACCCTGCTACCTTTTCTCTCTTACATAGGACACGAAAGCTTTGGTTCCTCAGTTTTCTGTTTGCTATCCACATAGACTTGTTATTTTTCTTCTTCTTTTTTCTGAATGATTGCTTCAGTTTGTTACTATTCAATGGTTTCAAAGTTTATAGGTATTGCTTTTCACAAAGATGATTCTATTATGTTTTTATCTGTTTGTTTGTACCAGTAGTTTCTGATGGCATAAACCATTTTGCATGTGCATGCTTATCAACTTGTCCTTGTAGCTATACATTTATTAGTCCTGTGTCAATTGAATGCTATATTTCTTTTCCAAGGAAGGAAAATATAAAGAGCTGAAATTAATATTTTGTTACATCTAATATGAATATTCTAAATATTGTGCAATTTTTTGCTTCTTTTACATTATGATAAAAACGTTGAGTCTAGCATGAGTAGAAAAGAGACAAAAAGAAGTGGAGAAAAAACCGATACATATGATAAATGATTTTATGTAGTGGGTTAGGATAGAAATTATCTGTCATTTTACGACTCATAATTCATTACTAAACTTTTTTACTGAGCTTGTCTTGTTTAATAGCCACAAATATCCTTTCTACTCCACTAGTCTAATAGATTTTTTTTATTTTAAAATAAGAGAAAAAAATAGTTTATGATTGAAAAGGAAAAGAGAGATAAAAGGAATGAAACAGATAAGACAGCAAGTGTATATTTATAATTTTAAATTAATATATCATAANTGATTATACCCTCCAAAAGAAAAATGACACTTGAACAGATAAAACTAACATTATTTTTTAATCACGTATCATACTTTCATCGGGTGACAAGGAAATTAAGGAAGCACCGATGGTAAGGTATCTCGTAATGTGTTATGTTTTTTCGTTATCTCTTACCCATTCCAAAAGCTTTCTTTGGCAAATGTTTTACACCGGAAGAAACTTACTGTACTCACGTCAAGCAATTTATTTTTATGGTACGTAACATTATGTCATTGGTGCAGGTGCAGTAATTCATGGTCTTCCTCAATATCATGTTTGTGTTCTTATGTTTGTCTCTCTCTTGTTATGTAGGGGTTACTATAGATGCAGCAGCTCAAAGGGTTGTCCTGCAAGAAAACAAGTTGAGAGAAGCAGAACAGATCCAAACCTGTTGGTCATTACTTACACGTCAGAGCACAACCATCCATGGCCAACTCACAGAAATGCTCTAGCTGGGTCTTCTCGATCTCAACCTTCATCAAAAGGCAACAACTTTGGTGCTTCAAAGAATGAAGAAACCAGTCCCCAAAACAATGAAGAGCAGCACGAGGAGAGCAACAGTGATAGCAATAATGTGAATAACAGTGCTTGTGTTCAGGAAGATGGAGAATTCAGTGACATTGGACTCCCTTATAAGCCAATATCCAATATGAAGAGCTACCAACAACAACAACAGCTTGATCAGGGTTTGTTTGCAGAGTTTGGAGAAATAGAAAAAGCTCACTCATTAAACCTAATGTCTCCACCACAAGGTTTTGATGATCACCAAATGAAATCCAACGCTTTAGATTCATTCCATATCTTTGACTGGAGCGCTGATAACAGCACCGAGTTCCACCTCATTTGAAGAATCTAATTGGAGAAGGTTATATATATAAATATAAAGAACTTGAATGGGAAGCATGCAGCACCTTCCTCACAAAAACCTTTTAATAGGTGCAGGTCATCATCGGATTTCAAATATGTCATGTGGGGGAGATTTGAGATCACAAACCCACTTTTCTTGTTTTTAGTTTTTTTTTTTTTTTCCTTTTCTCTTTCTCTTTTTCTTTACCTGTTATTTCTCGTAGCAGTGAGGGAGGAAAATTAGTGGAAGAAAAATGGGATTGTATATGTGGGAGTGCTGCTTGATGGGAAGCACACAGAAGGAATCCCACGTTCCCTTTGGAATATTGGTGGATGGGACAGAAAGCTGAGGAACAGAAGATTTTAACAGTTAAAACAATTTCTAGAGACTTTATTCATTCAAAATCACACTCAGTAGGTTAATGATTAAAGGATGAGAGCCCAGTCCTTTCATCTTTTGCAAGTGGGAAAAATTATTTTAGGCCTCACCCTTCATCATGTGGCTTGTTCTTCAAAAGGCTTCGGAGATTTTAATCTGAGATTTCATATTAACTTTTCTCTCAGAATTGAAAATTGATTTTAGCTAAAAAAGATTAGTAATAAACAAAATAAAGGAATATATATGGGTCACCCTGCTACCTTTTCTCTCTTACATAGGACACGAAAGCTTTGGTTCCTCAGTTTTCTGTTTGCTATCCACATAGACTTGTTATTTTTCTTCTTCTTTTTTCTGAATGATTGCTTCAGTTTGTTACTATTCAATGGTTTCAAAGTTTATAGGTATTGCTTTTCACAAAGATGATTCTATTATGTTTTTATCTGTTTGTTTGTACCAGTAGTTTCTGATGGCATAAACCATTTTGCATGTGCATGCTTATCAACTTGTCCTTGTAGCTATACATTTATTAGTCCTGTGTCAATTGAATGCTATATTTCTTTTCCAAGGAAGGAAAATATAAAGAGCTGAAATTAATATTTTGTTACATCTAATATGAATATTCTAAATATTGTGCAATTTTTTGCTTCTTTTACATTATGATAAAAACGTTGAGTCTAGCATGAGTAGAAAAGAGACAAAAAGAAGTGGAGAAAAAACCGATACATATGATAAATGATTTTATGTAGTGGGTTAGGATAGAAATTATCTGTCATTTTACGACTCATAATTCATTACTAAACTTTTTTACTGAGCTTGTCTTGTTTAATAGCCACAAATATCCTTTCTACTCCACTAGTCTAATAGATTTTTTTTATTTTAAAATAAGAGAAAAAAATAGTTTATGATTGAAAAGGAAAAGAGAGATAAAAGGAATGAAACAGATAAGACAGCAAGTGTATATTTATAATTTTAAATTAATATATCATAAAGGACTGGAAAAGTGTAATCTTTTTTCCGAACTCACTATTTTAAATTTTATGTTGCTCACCAAATCCCAAAAGTTGTTCTTAAAAGCCTATGGCCTTTTTTTTATATATAAACTGTGCACTTTTACCTTTTTGGAGTAAATAATTAAGCAAATAATATTTCTGCTGCTTTGCACGTTGCAACACTGTATTGAAACAGTTGCTTTCAACAATTATGATAAATAAACAAGTACAAAAGGGTTTTTTCTTCAACACTTTCACTCAACATTTTAACAATACGTCATTGTGAGATTGATAATGTGATTGATTCATCTTGATGTTTATAATTATTATTATTGATGGTGAAAAAATTTTAGACTAATTATTAAATAACATATAAATAATATTAAAATGTTATCAAAGTATCATTATCTTTCATGATATTATCTGGATTCCTGTATTAACATTGACAAAATTAAAATATTCTTCTCATTGTCACCGTACTCTCTAAAAGGAGAAAAAAAAATAGTTAGTCTTGAAATACTTGTTCTGAAAAAGTCGTTTTAGAATGTATTTTATGTTTTTCAGAACATTTATTTGAAAATTTCTATTTCAAAAGTTCTATTACGAAAATACTGTTCTAGAAATTATGTTTTGTAGAACTTATTTGGAAATATTTTGAGAATAAATGAGTTTTACAAAAAGTAAAATGATCATTTTAAAAATTACGTGAGTTACAGTTAGAATTTGTAAAGATGTAAGAAGAAAAACTCTAGGGTGTTACTCCCTCCACCCCCACACGTCTCTTCCTCCACCTCCCCAATTTTCTAAAATGCCAATTATATCCTTCTAAAATGACAATTATATCCTCAAAAGTTAAAATTTTTTATTTTTATTATTTTAATATTTTAATTTATTTAAAACTTCTGATTTACTTCCCTCTGCACCTCTTTCTCTCTTCCATTTTCGTTTACCTTTCTCTCTTCCGTTAAGCTTCTTCTCCACCTATAACAAATTCATATTTTAACAAATTCATATTTTAACAAAATTATTACGTTTAAAAACTAACCATATATAACATTTAAAATTATAAATTTAAATATAAATTACTGTAAATAAAATAAACAAATAAAATAAAAACGAAACGTAAAAGGAACACTGCCTCTGGACGGATGACATCCTTCAACGGATGTCAACATCCGTTGAAGGCAAAACGGATGTCGACATCGTTTTGCCTTAAACGGATGTCGACATCCGTTTTGCCTTAAACGGATGTTGACATCCGTTGAAGGATGTCACCCGTCCATAGGCAGTGTTCCTTTTACGTTTCGTTTTTATTTTACTACGTTTTGCGGCTCATGCAAGGATTATAGGCTTGGATATTAAGAGGATTATTGGAAGTATGGGAAGGATTTAGGGTTTAGGATTATTGGAAGGATTGTGACTACGTACCTGGAGAGGAACCACGACAAGGACACCACCATAAACGCACTGCATCACGTACTGCACCGAGAACAAGAAGAAGATTGTTTGATAATTCTTTTCACGATCACCAAGCTTTGTAGAAAAATATTTTACTCATACAAGGAACTACGTAGGTTATCAGTGAAATATGTTATAAATGAATAAAATTAAAAAACAACAATTTTAAAAATAAAATTTTACTGAGGGGCAAAATAGTAAAGGAAAGGTAGAGGAAGGGGCAAAATAGTAAAGGGAAGGTGGAGGAAGAGATGTGTGGGGGTGGAGGGAGCAACAGCCAAAACTCTACTGAGAAATGTATCCAACAGTTATGCCTTGATCCTTGGAGAAGGCCCAATTGGTAAATGGGCTTATGTCCAAATCCTACTTGCGTTAGCCATTGAGCAAGAATGAACTGACCTCACCCATTTATTTCATATTAATTATATTTTTACTCCTTCTATAATGCTCAACGTATAATTTGAATCTCTAATTGTTTTGCCCATGTTTAGTTATTTAATATTTTTTCTGAGAAAAACAAATATTATTAATTTGAAAGCAGATCAGTACAAGTTTTAAAGTCTGGGTGCATAGGGAATAGCTACACGTCTAATTGCAGACTTGGCACATGAAGTACAATTCATAAAATAAAAACCCAAAGATATGAGCAACGATGGAAAATAGGTCCATTAAGCTAATAGTAATAAACAAGATGGAAAACGAAGGTAAAATAATTTCCGTTAGCCAAACTGTGCAACTGGCAGTTTGTACTATGATCCAGTTCCTTCAAACTCAGTCTAAACATTGTGCAATATATGATTAGGACCCAGCAGATTCTTCACCTACCAAAAACAGTGATGCTATTTAGAAAGCAGAAAAATTTGTAAGTTAGATCAAAATAAAATTAATGAGTAAAAATAAAAGTTAAAATGTTTGTTTGTTGAAATAAGATATAAAAAAATGAAAATAAAACATATATAAAATAATATAATTGTACCATGTTAATGTATTTATATATATACTTTGAAAACGTATTCTTTAATTGCCTAAAAAATCATTATAAGCAGTATAATTATTTTTGGGTTCTCACATTGATCTTATCTAGTTATGATGGTAATTTATTTGTTCTCTGGCCATGAGAACTCATGATAGTGTTGAGAGTTCCAAGATTCTGTCTGAATATTGTCGTGTGCACAATAGTCTGAATCGTCCAGTAATACGACTTGCTTTTATTGTGTTGTCTTGGTTGGTTAACCGCGAGGACTACCTAGCCAAGTTGATTATCCTGGGCGTGCTTAGAGGACTGACTGATTTGGTCTATATGTGTACATATGTGTTATAATATTTATATAATAGCATTTCCATTACATGAGTTTAATCTTTCAAATTTTAAGTGTCATAATAATATTTTGGGACTATGTAGCCTTCATTAATACTCTACAACTCTTTCCTCATTAAAATTTAGGTCTAATATCATTTTTTTTTCATTTAACATGAAACTCATTTTTTCTTAATGTTTAATATAATTACTAATTTTATAATTTTTTGTTACATTTGATCATTTTTACGATGATATCTAAATAATTAACGACACAATATCAAGATCAATCATAAGTAAATAAGTTGTTAGTTTTTATATATACGTGACAATTTAAAAGGAAATATAGTATTTGAAAGTGATTTTATTGGAACCTTAACCCCTAAATCGTGAGAAATAAAACCCAAAAACGCAAATGTCAAATTCAAAACCTTAACCCCCAAATCGCACCAATAATCTACATATGAGTGTTAAGAACACATGAAATTCCCAAATCAAAATATCAAGAACACAAGGACTTCTCAAAACAACACCTAATTTCAAATTCTAATTCGAAACCCTAATCTAAAACGTGAAAACATAAATGAACTCAAATTTCCCAAATCAGAAAACAATATCAGAAACCCTAAATTACAAGATTGGAACCACGATTCCCTCTAATGTCGTCGTCGGTACCCCTCGCAACGCATCACCGTTGCCTTTGCCAACCACCACGACATTGTTCGCACCCAAATTGTGTCCACCTTCGCGGGTTTCTTCAAAGGGGAAAAACTCTACCACTACGAGAATACATCTTCGCTCTGTAGAGACGTCGTCGTTGTGGCACCTATTGAAACGAGGGAAACATCGCGCCGGAGCCACTGAACCTAGCATTTCCTTCTTGCGAGAATCCAAGGCTAGAACAAGGAAAGAAGGGCGAGAATAAGGGTTCCCTGATGAGTTGAACCCACAACAGAGACAAGGAAGGAGAAGAATATCTCCCTCGATGAAAGCAAGGACGTAGGCGAAGGAGGTGGGGGAGTTCACGGTGACGATGCAGCGACAATGGAATTGTAGCGGTAGAGGGTTATGGACTCTGGTGCGGTAGTGTGTGGAGAGAAGTTTGTTCCAACAAAACCACTTTCAAATACCAGATTTCCTTTTAATTTGCCACGTATATAAAAAAACTAACAACTCATTCACTGATGGCTGACCCGGATACTGTGTCGTTAATGATTTAGACGCCATCAAGGAAAATGATCAAATTGAACAAAAATTACAAAATTAGGAACTACATTGAACATTCGAAAAAAATGAGTCCCAAATTGAACAAAACTAACGAAAATAGAGACCAAAATTGGTATTAAGCCTAAAATCTACTACTTTGACTTACAAAACTTAAAGATT